ATAATTAAGTAATTGCTGGAATTACTTCCGAAGACGTCCAATGACAAATTGCAGCTTCCGAATTTCTCGTAGGTTAATAGCAGCCTTAGCCTTCTATTAGTTTCAAAATATCCTGTCAAGGGTAATATGAGATTGTACTTCGACTCGACTTCAACTTCAACTTCGTCCTTTGTTGGAGGCTAGTTACGTGCATGTTTGCGAAACACAGTTTGTGCGTTATTTATCGCCAGTTTCATGAATTTTAAACAACCTAAGTAGTTGGCATTTCGACATTAAATGATCTCTGAAACGGCAGTGATTCTAGACAACTTTCACCTCCACATAGAGCTTCAGAAAAATTGCGGTACTCCTACTACAGTATCCACTGTAGCATGGTGTAACAGCAAATTGTTAAGGCAACAGATGTGTTAAGCATACATGTAGAGTATGGGTTATCAGCCCAAGTCATCAGAGCAGTGAAATTTAAAAAAAAATGTTTGAATGGGCTGGATATTTAGCACGAATTGGCATATAACGTTAATTCAGAATGGGCTCTCTAAGATGCCAATCATATGTTTCACTTACAAGCTGTGTGGGTGTAAAATACTTTTAAATTATTTTACAACAGACTGCGGTACTTTTAACTGTACTTGCAGTGTACCATGCTTGATTCTATGGCACTCTTTGAGCCCACGCGAAATCCTTAGAGTTAATAACCTTGCTCACGAATGGTGAAAGGTCATCTTTAATTGCGAGGCGTAATTGGACTATTTCGTGCCGGGCCTGTTTTAGCACGCACACGAAACATAAGGGTAGTTCGTGCATCCCCCCTCCCACTCTCGAATGTGTCCCTGGCTTATGTGTTGGTCCTACTGTAAAATATCAAAGGGGGTAACACTATGTGGCATCAGCACAGAATGATATATTATATTTGTGAACATTATTTTCGTAGGAAAACATGCTGTGCAGTGGAGATTTTAATTTTTGCGTAAAGAAACTCATCGGTGGCGTTGAAATTTGTGTTTTATTTGTGGTTTGTATATTGTATAGCACTGGGACATGCAGTGCGAATACACCCCATATAATATGTAATCCTTAAATCCTGCTCGAGAAGTAATTTAAGTTTGCATAAACGTCAGTATTGTAGAGAACGTATGTAAATCTAGGTTAGTAGAGTTTCTATTAAATTCGAGGCTCCTGAGCCGATAAGAAATGATGAGTCTGGTCGCAGTTGTGAACCCGTTGCGGTAAATGTGAATTTCCGCATTTAGGGTCCAGTCATTCGCTGTATTTATGCACAAAGACATTATTATTGTATTGGCGAAAATCGGGTCTAGAAATAATTTGATTTGGGAGTGGGGCATAAAGTGTTTTAACGCGAGGTGACGTTGAGGGCGTGTGGAGGTAATTTAATTTGCCCGCAGTCTTACCAATCGATATGAAACTCAAGCCCACAGTTTCACTTTCCCAAATACGCTTAGATGCTTTCGGTCAGTGCTTTGTAATCAAGAACACAGAATTTCAAAGCCAAATTTGTTTCTACGGATACCCAGAACATAACATGCGGTTATTCAGACCCGTAGCGCATATGAATACGTCTTCCTAGCGAATGGTGGTGGGTTTCTTTAGTATTTACTACCAAATACGGGACTAGTGCCTTAATAGGCCTCATCAATTTCCTTTCTCACAGAACGGACGACGTGGTGTCATGCACTTCTGTTTTGTATTCGGAATGTCTCTAATTTAAATCTCTGGGAGGCCTACCAGTTTAAAAAGGTATTTTTCTGTTCCTTCTAGGGCTGTAGGTAGTCGCATTCAATACGTTGTGGCTGCTTATTTCATGTTATCTTATCCTACATCCCATAATCACCATCTCATTAGACGCCTTATGACATCTACATTTGGCGCAACGTCGTCTAACAGCTCAAAAGGCTCGCTCAGACCAGGTTCTCCGAGGGTAAAAGTGACCCTAAGTGGATATCAACTTTTAACTCCTGTAGTTTTCAGAAGTTAGCAGCCGTGGTTCATCCAGAAAACGTCTGGAATTGTGTCGAGCAACTGTTGTTGAAATTGGGGCTGGATGTATTTTTCTCGTATCTTCATATGTCTAATACTTTTGAAATAGTAACAGTAGGCCAATTTCTGTCTTTTCAGACCAAGAAGAATAATCCCAACCACATCAAACGGCCAATGAACGCCTTTATGGTGTGGTCCCAGATAGAGCGACGCAAGATATGCGAACAACAGCCTGATATGCATAATGCAGAGATCTCTAAGCGGTTAGGGCGGCGATGGAAGATGCTGTCAGAGGAGGAAAGACAGCCCTTCATCGACGAGGCAGAACGCCTCAGGCAGTTACATATGCAAGAGTATCCAGATTATAAATACAGGCCCAGAAAGAAAGCAGTGAAACCACTCCCCAAAGTGTCTGCTCCTTTGGCGAAGAAAGGAAGGAAGTCCACCCCAAATCACCACCTCCACAGGAATGATACCAACAACAACCACCACCCCAGCACACTCAGTACAGCCAGCAAAGACAGAAGTGTGTCACAAGCTCAACAGCATTCACTGATCCATTCAGGAGGGTCTACTCGTACCCGCATCACCAATACACTCAGTTCAGTGAATCACAGTAGGCTGAAAGTACGCCTAACCATTGATCGAAAGTTCAAAGACAGTATTCGAAGCAATCGACAAGCCTCTCCAACTCACCAGCAGTATGCTCCCCCTCCCCCCACCGTTACTGCCAAGGTACCGTCCAGTCCTTCCTGCGATACTCCAGATTCCCCAGAAAGTGCATCATTTTATGATGACACATCCATGCTTCTTGATGTGAAATTCAATCCAACGACAGTCACTTGCCCATCAGGCTTAACGGCAACCACTACAACCCCTGCAACCACAACATCTGCTGAGAGTCGCTTAGGAAGAGACTATGGAAGCCACACATTCACCTTAAACAGGCTTGACTCTGGAGCCAGTGTAAAATCCATCAAGATGGAGCCCATGGATTATGAGAGTGTGACCATCAAGGAAGAACCGGTCGAGTGTGAGTCGGAAACTGCTGCCACTGGTGCAACACGAGCAGGAGAGAATCCAAGCCTTGCCGATCTAGATTCCCTCACTGACCTCCTCCAAATCTCGTCCGACTTCAGAGTGGACCTGGACACACTCACCACAGATCTGGACTCTTTTGATACAGCCAGTTCCAGTTCAGGATCCCACTTTGAGTTCTCATGCACTCCTGATGTGTCGGACATGCTGTCTGATATTGGTGTGAACAATGACTGGGTTGATACGAGTTTTGCCAGTCTCATCAACTGTTAAACAGCTGAGTAAGTGAACTGAACTAACTATTGGTGCTAGTAGGGCACTGTACAATGTGAGACATGCAGTGATGTTTGTTGGTTGTAGTCATGTGACGATCATAATGCCTGTAGATATGGTCACGTTAGTCATTTTCAGTTTTATCCTTGCAGGCAGAAACACGAGTGGTCACTGTTTATCAGTTTATCAGTGCTTCTTGTAAAACTTATTTTAACCACACCCTCTTCTGTTAATTCCAGCATAAAACTTCTCATTCTTCCACACATTTATTTGAACCTTGTATAATTTCTGAAGGAGAAAATTTAAAATGACCATTGTGACAAACAGTCAAGTGTCGACTTTCGTAAGTGAAAAGTCTCTATAGTACGCGACTGTAATCTTGAAACTTGCTGAGGAATGCAGGAAGTCCGAAGCGTTAAAGGCTGACGATATCTTTCCAACTTCACCCGACTTCCTCACCCCCACAAGTCTCAAGATTACTATCGTGGACTGTACCTTTGCAGCGCCGAAGGTCTGCCTGTCAACGTCACTGGTATTGCATTGCAAGGTGTGCATGAGCTTGGATGTTTCAATTCATTCATCGTAATCTGACATCCTTGGTAGGCCCTACTTGTGTACTCAGTAAGGTTTGATCTCTTGTACAATGAATCATCATTTCATTGTATGTTTTTATTATATGTTGAGCCTAGTTTCACAGTAGGCGATTTCTACCACTCAATAGTGCCTAGAGACCCTTTGCACGGATCTTTCATACAAATATGGTTGAGGAAAAATTCGCCTCATTATTTCTGACTCCAGGGAAAACTATATCAGGCTGTGATTACCGAACTCTGGTGACCAAACTTATGTTTATCTGAAAGTTGACGACACGTAGGTGCCGGAAATTACTCCCGCCAGTATATTTGTTTGCATTCATTCACCATTTGTCTTGTGGTGGCCGATGTCTAAACTGTATACCCTTCAGTAGGGCCTAACTGAATTTTAATTCAGCAAATTGCACTGAATCAACAAAGCTATACTTAAGGGAAATTACCCTCACATATCACATGGTACATCGTTTGTCATTATTATTGTCAAATTTATCATGTTTGTTTTTTCTTTGACAGTGCAAGGAATTTAACGTGCTTTTAAATTTAATTGCTGTAACCATTATAGTAAAACGTAAAAAAAGTCATAAAATGTGTACTTAATTAGAATATAAAAAATTGAAAAGAGAAAAATGCTTTGAGGTATGTACAAAATCAAGAAAGCACAGTCGGACTTTTCATCTCGCCTATGTAATCTGTGTGTTTCCAGTAATTGAGGTGTATAAATTGATAAATTTATGGTGTAGAAGATACTGAAAATTGTTTTTAAAAATTAACAAATTATCTATGAATAAGCTGCGTTATGTAAAGCCACTTGAATTTTCTTTAATCTAGGAATAGGTCGTTCACACGTGATTATTCTAGACCTTATTGACTTTAATTTAACCCTATAACTAACTACGTGGAACGGAATCCTTCGTGATTCTAATGTTGGTTTAGCTTGTCAATACATTTTCTCCCATATTTAATAAAATCTTAAAGAAAAAGAAAATTAAAAAAAGTTCTTGAAACGACACAATTTGAACTAGTTATAGAATCTTTGTGCGGGGCTTTTAAGTATGGCATCTTCCTCGTTGCTACTGCAGTGTCACATGTCTTAGGTTTTGCAAGAATTTGGGTTCCTTATTTTCAAGTCTGAACATGGACCACAAAATTTCATTAGGCCAAATAAAAAAATCTAAATGAGACAAACATTACGGAATTTTAAGATGTGTAATTGGAGCACACATTGACGTGTCATTTTCCCTTTATATTTCAGTAATTATCAGATAATGCGTTTTAATGTCAATTTCACGAAAGACTTAAAGGAGCCAGTAGTGGTGTGTGGGTCCTTGGTTTTCCTCAGTTCTTTTTGGTAAATTACGAAAGGATAATATTTTTTTTTGAACTCCCAACCGAAGCATAAATTTTTTGAATGCGTTGGTGGGTCATTATACGCTTATGTACTACATTAAATATACATTCAATATAGTCACTTGTAAGATAGAGTTAGACATATAAAAGCACAAATAACATTATTTGTAACCATACACAATCACTTTATGGGTACTGTTGTGTGGGAGATGACTTTTTTTTACGATGATGACAGATGTGATATATATATATATATATATTTATATATATATATTAAGGACGTCTTCTTATGTGTGCTTTCTCTGATGGAAGTTCATCCATTATAAGATGTATTTGTATGTTCTGAGCACAGAAGTGCTATCTCGTTGGAGTGTATAGGATTCTTGCTGTGTGTTCCTTAAAACATGGGTTGTACAACTGTGTGTGCGGTTGTGGTTCTCCGAGTCGTCGTGGAAGATTTTCCGCTGTGTTTGTAGTCATATGATCAGGTAGTATTTGTGAAGAGAGCTCTGTAGTTCGGCCAGGGGACGGGGTGGAATTTTACTTGAGTTTGCAGCCATGTTAGACGGGATATCATATCCTTTTGCTCACCTTTTGTACATTGTATTCTTTTTGTTTTTATTGTTATATTATATGAAATATATATGCATATATAACCTTTATATTTGGTGAGGTATAAGACATTATGTTTAGTATTGCTACTGTCTTGCTGCAAACTTATAGGCCCATGTAGTCACCTTGTTTCCTCCAACAACCGTTGAGTGCGGTGGAGGATTATTTGCAACCTCAGATTAAGTGTGGCATGTCAGGAAATTATTTCGTAAAGTTACACGCATTCTTATCAGTGTTCATAATCTGTGACCACACAACGAAGGTAGAAACATCACAAACTGCTTCTCCATACTTTTATTTTAGGTGGCAGTTTTAGCCCACGCTAAAACCTTTGATTATCTCTCATCGGGTTGGAATAATTTCAAACTGCTCTAGATACGCTTTATTTTTCAATAATTTAGAGCGTGACTACGAAACATTACGTCAGATCTTACCATTCTCCAGAAAAATATTGTAATTATTTACCACTACCATAAACTCATTTGTGCTCGTCACTTTTGCCAGGGTTTGTTGAAGAATCCGCCAGTTGACTTGTGGTGATATTGTTTCACGTGAACAAGGAAGGCATGACGAAGATTATCAGCTCCTGGCTTGAGGGACGTACTTTGTGCAGCTTTGCAGGTTGTGATGTAAGCCTGTCGATAACCATGTCTCCCATTGTTTCTAAGTCAGTTTGTGTATCCTCCATGCCACTAGTACATTTTGTAGACGTAATCCAATAGGTAGGGCCTATTTATTATTCCATTTCTATTATTTGTGTCTTTTTATTGTGTGCTTTGTAAAAGAGAAATACCTTCTGTGCTTTTGTTACGTTAATATTTTGTACAACCTCACACTAAAAAGATTTTACAAGTAAGGAGATAATTTATGAAACAAATTAGCAATATTTTTGCATATAAGATAAAACAGTGTAAAAAAGAGTTCCCCTAATGGCATTTTGTAAAACAACCCATGTACCATAATTCATATATAAATATTATAGTTGAATGATAACATGTACATTTTGTATTGTAGTTTGTTTATAAATATATATGGTAAATATACCATCCCATTTTTTAAAAGACCTTCTTTGTTTTTCTTAGTCCATGTGCAATCCAGCATGTTCTTTCCTTGACACACAAATTGAAGTCCTGTGGTAAGGTATGGGAGAGAACAGAATGTGTCGATTTCCTATAGTCCATGCGCACATGTTAAAATTGTGTGCAGCACAGTAAATGGCTTGTATATGCAACCAAGTCCATATACAAAAATCAGAGCTACCATCTCCGAATTACTATTGATACGAAATTGGGTGTAGTTTGTTACGAGAAATCCCATACAAGCAATGCTGGTTTAAACACTAGGTAAACCAAGCTATCGCCTGGGGCAGCGAAATCTAGGGCAAAAAAAACTAATAAAACAAATGACGTAAAAGAATATTATAAGGGTTTAAAACTGAAAGGGAACCGGGGGGTGGGGGGGTGGAGCGAGTGTAATATGTAATATGATGTCGACAATGTGACCAGCTTGTTACATATAAAAAATATCAAATCCAAAAACTTAATAAGAACATTGCTCAGAGGATTTGATCTTCGAATTGTCTCTGAACCAGTTTGTTGGTGCTTTATTTTGTAAAGGTGTGATCATGAAACTGATTTCTTGTGCTAAGGTTGCAGTGTTTAGATACCCTAAATGTTTCAAATCAACCCGCGTCTTCAGTTTTTATGAAAGCTGACTTCCTATTTGACATGCGGTGACCCCTTCAAGGCCCTAAGACATGTTTCCATATATCTAGCAGCAAATAAATGTGATTCCCACTGAGAGAGATGGTATACTACTACCACACAATGTTTTAGATTCTTGCATGTGGAAATGGAATGCACAAGCCGTATTTTAGTGCGACAAGAAAGGTTTAAAGAAGACTAAATAATTATTTTTTAGATAATTTTCTGCCTCCAGAGTACTGCAGGTGTAACGATGTAAGAATTCTGTTTGATTTGTTGCGTTGTAATCCTGTAATCCGTTTCATGGCGTTTGGATACATCAGTTAAACATTGGAGGTTAGAGTTTGTCATAGTTCAAGTTACTGCATTATTAAATTTTTCATACCTTTCCAATTGATGCGACGCAGTACGGTGGGAACATGAGTTAGTAGTTCAGTGCCCTTGTACGCGTGTGTCGGTAGGTTACAGAACTCGTGATGTGACTTTTTGATATTGTGTTCGAACCGGTAAGTGCCCAGCTTCAAGAACTGCATTGGTAAGTTGTTAAATGTGGGTCCAGACAATGTCCACAAGATGAGCACGTACATTTGGCGCAATTATTAGTCCAGTGCAGCTGTGATGGAAAGACATTTCATAGACAAAGGGATTTCAAATATGTCTGCATTTCAGAGAGATTTCAACGTGAAGGTAAGTTCTGGTTTAATACATTCAGCTGCCCAAAGAAATTTGTTCTTTTGTTGTCGAAATTTGAGCTACATTTTGAACAGTAATCAACCGGTCCATTCGAAATTATTTAATAAGTTTATACCTGCGTCCATGCCAGTTACCGTTGCAGTGTAACGGGCGTGGGCAACTTTATGTAGCCTCGAGTAAAATCTGGTTTTCTCATCGCAGCCGTGAGCCATGACATTTCGTGTGAAGTACGTTATTACCAGTTGCTGAAATAAGTACTAATCGAGGCTAGTGCAGTGATTGGCTAAAAGATATTGACCTTCTAACGCAAGGAAACTTGATATTTTACACATATTCGACGCGGCTGTTAACATCAATTATAATTTTACGTAATAAAATTAACAATTCATTTCGAATCCTCGCTGCTAATTAACTTAATTTTCTTCTCTTGAGGGCGTTAAGCCACTCTTGGAGAACTGAAACTCTCGGCCACTGTACGGTATATATAGTTCTAGATGTTCCATTTTATTTTCGAACCTTCAATTGACTGAAGGGGAACAAATCGAACCTTATTTTTCCACTTTAATTTTAATGTATTTCATCCGAAATTTGTTAGCTGCAGGGAGAGATCAAAATCAGTTTAGTAGGATTTGAGGTTTTCACGTCGGTGAGTCCTACCTAAGATGGCTGTCTTCTGGGTTGTACCGCCGTGTAGTCAAGTCTGGTAGATGTTTACCAGCGCTCTTGCCACCTCCATCGTCAGGTGATGAATACCAGAGTACACGGCGTCACAACCCAGAAGACTGCCATCTACTACAAATTTGTTTTCGGGCTTGCTTGATTTTGATATGTTTTATTTATACGAACATTTTTGTGACATTATTTATTAGAATTAGAATCTTGTTCAAAACTGGTAGGCATTTATGATTTCATAACTGTTGACTAAACGAAAGCAGTAATATATTTTAAAAGAGCAAGATTGGATCCATTTGACTGTCGTGGCAAGAAAAGCATTGTAGTCGAGGTCCAACCGCTACTATGACGGGGTCGACTCAGATCCGGTGAAGGTCGTGCAGTCTGTCAGGGAAGCCTTTATCGGTAATCAGATATCGGCGTCATGATAACAAGGATCATGTATAAGGTCTGGAAGCTTCGTAAGCTTTCCGTGAAGATATCTGGATGAAACTAAATTGGTTAAAAAACAAAACACTCTCTCTGGGCAGTAATGCAATTGATACACGTAATTGAGTTACATAGACCTGCATATTTGAGCGTTCTTAATTTTCTTATTCGGCATGTAATAGACATTTATTTACGCTTATTATGTAATGATGTAATTATTTACGAACAACGCGTACAGGGCAGCCATTCGTGCAATTGGCAGTTTCTTTACTCATGCGGTGCAGTGCACGAAAGTGGAAAATACAGTTCCACTGAGCGCAGTTCGCTTAATTGGCCATGACGGGAAAGTATATATCCACACGTCCACACCATCCTTGCAAGGATAACCGCCCATCATGCTTCATTTGTTTCTAAGTGACCATACCACGCGTCATGTAGGTCAAAGATGGGACAGTATCTGTTCTTCTTTGATTTATTTATGTACTGAGAATTACTTTAAATATGAGCTGTTACTTTATGTTAGGGATGTGCAGTTGGAAGAATCGTGGACCGCACACGAATTGTTGTGCAGAAATTACAGGAGAAACGAACCGAAGCCAGAAACAGTGATAAATACATCTCATTAATGCTTTCTCAGGTTGTCATTGCCAGCATCGTGCTTTTTTTTAAAAAAATAGTCCAGTTGTAAGGATTTGTGTTGATGTGCTTTCGGGTTCCATCATATAAAATTTGTTCATTCCCTAAGTGGCAATCATCTGGTCAAGCAATGTACTATAACCAAAATTCGTTTGTCTAAGTGCAAACTAATTTTTAGGGGTGATGTCCCTATCAGAATGAAGGCTTTTGTTTCATGTCAACTTCTAGTGTTAGCGGCCCATTTAAATCGTGTTCTGTACCCTGGTCCTGTGTTTCGTACGACACTCGAGAACAGCAATGCACTGTGTCCGGTTGAGAGACGCGAGCCATAGTTAAGTTAAATTGGTTTATTTGTTCGTCTGTTGATTCTTGAGATTAGCCGCAACAGCTCTTGAGGCAAAGACCCTCATGACCCCAAGTTGTGGGAGCGACTGGTCTGTCTGCGTAGATAGAAATAACGAAGCCATACATCGGGGATTTGTGGTCTGCACTTAGGTCCTAGCTAATGTGTATATGTTGCACTGATCGAAAGTAGCATGGCCCATTGCCAGTTTGTTCCTAGAATTTACATACATTCCAGTCTACAGGAATTCACGGAGGCATTATTAAAATGTCACGCTGTAGAACTCATTAAATGAATTTCTCGAAGACTTGCTCAGTACAAACTGTGTTATATTTATTGTACGAGAGGCGGGTCTCAGTGTATGCATAAGTAGTTTGCAATTTGTGGCCCGTTTTCTGACTCGTGGTTGCGTTCTGGGATATGTCTTCGTTTTAGGATTTGTTTGTATCAAGCCTCATGGTCTGTTAATTTTTTGACGTAAATACGTCTATAAGGAAGGGTCATTCGGCAAAAAAGTGGAACGAAAAAGTGTAACAAGTGTACCTAGGGAACGTCATCTGTTTACTCGGCATTGTTGTTACCTAGGATACGTAATCTGTTTACTTATCATTGTTGTTACCTAGGAAACGTTACATTACATTAAAATACATTACTTTACATTACATTCAGCTACCACAGACCCATCTTAAGCGTAACTAATTGAAGTTGAATAAGCAAAGTCTTAATCAAACTTATCTCAATTGTAAAGCATGTATAAAGGAAATATTTTGAATAATGCCAATATATAAACTTCCTTTCCTTATAGACGTATTTACGTCTAATTCTCCGGAACCGTGGTTCCACTGACAACTTTTTTTCACTTAATTCATTAATTTGTTACTGACGAAGGCTTTAATAGATGAACATACTGGAAGCAAGTAAAATTCAAAAATATCTGTGGAATACTTAGCAATATCCATTAAATAAATAAGCCTGTAACTTGTGCTTGTAACTCTACTCCTAACCCGTAGTCTGTCATAAATTTCTTTAAATTACACATTAGCCCAAGTCTCCAATTTAGAATGTCTATATTTCATTGTTCTGCCCTACACTTTCCTTTAAGCAGACTATTTACCATTTATTATCTATATTAATCATTAGCTTTACTTAAATCTGGGATTTTTACTCCCTTCATTACACATTAATCATCCTATCATTCGAAGCTATGCAATTCGAACTGCTGACAGGATCGTTAAAGAACCCACAAATTTCTAATCAACCGATACGGGCAGGGTGTAGACTATTAAGCCAAAAATGTTTGTTTTGTGGAACCTCCACGGTTTCCAAACGTTATTTTGTTATGAACCGCTATACGCCGAGATCACTCAGCGAGACATAGCAGACTGATTTATTGTGTAAGAACGATGTGTCTCTCAATTCGGTTATGTGGAACGTATGCAAATCACGGAACCGCTGTGGGGACTGCAGAAATGAGCAAGTTTTCCACGAGCTAACCTTATCTCTAACAGTAATCTCTTACGCAAACATCATCTTCATAAAGCACTAATGTAAGTAATGCAATGTAAATGGTGATAGAACTCCAAGTAAATTCTTGACTAAACGTTCCATAAAATCTCTCGTACTTGTAGCGGTCATTACCGCAGTCGCGCGTTGGTCTCTGCCATCTTAAAGCATTAATTTCTGAAGGAAGTGGAGGTTTTTGACACTTTCTTGAATTTGTTTACAGCTGAGACAAAGTCATTTTCGGTAACAACCACATAGAGACAAACTAGTCCAATTTTCCATTCATTCATTGTTTGGCTGCGCGTAATGTGAAAACATCTTGTGATCGTAACTTGATGCAAATTACATGCCTGTCACTAACATCTGAGCCATCCGTCTGTTGCTAATTGTCGCATAAACATAGTATGTGACAAGCATAACGGAAGACGACGTAGTCAAGGAAACCAAGCAGGAAGTTTGATTGTAGGCTGTGAACAATGAAATTGAAAAATGAAGACAGAGCACTGCTATATGATACACACATTAATATCTCAGAACTAACTAACTCCAAGAAGCAGAGTTGTTGAAAAGCTAATTAACACTCAGCTGTTCAATAAGTTCCTCTCTTTACCCGATGGTTCATTACCGTGTTCACAAGAGCCCACAAACTGTTCATGTCCTGAGTCAGATTAATTCAGTCCACATTCTACTACTCATTTTTCTTCAGTCCCATTTTGAATATTATCTTCCCATGTCCTGCTAGTGGCCTGTTCTTTCATGATTTCCGACCAGCGTTTTGTATACATTTCTCATCTGTATGCCGGACTGGAGTGCACTCAACATGCTGTCCAATGAAACGATGTTTATTTTCCAAAGGTAAAGCGACCGGAAGTTGGCCATTCTTTCTTGCATAATGCCGAGGTTAAGAATTTGAGGAGCTGTACAGCTGCTCCCCCACACGTCTTCATGACGTGGTGCGTAATTAAGTATAATAAGAGCTTTACCTTCACCTTGTAATCGTCAATGGGTATCTAACTCCATTGTTCGTATTTTTTATCTCTGTGCATTTTGTGCGAAAGAGAGGAATGCGTTCTACTTTTTCAAGGAGTATTTGGAGAGGTTGACATTAAAACAGTGACACAAAAAATACTTTCAAAGATCTTGGATGTATCCGACTCGAAAATGGCTGTCTTCTGGGTTGTTGCATTGTGTAGTGTGGTAGAAGTTTACAGATGTTTCGGAGGTTCTTGCTGCCTCCATCATCAGGGAGATGGCGTCTCTACGGCTTTAAATAGCTAAAACAGCTTTCTCTTTCACAGTTACTTTAAAAATAGTCACCTTACATGTTTACGTGAAAGCAAAATGTCGAAAACGTCTACTCATATGTCAGTACGTTTATTTACGCAGCAGTAACGGAATTTTAAATTAATGA